TATATATTTATATATGCGCGTATGTAAGTAGATATACGTGTGTGTGTATGCGTATGCGTGTATGTATGTAGTTATTCGTTGTATCTATATACACACATAGGCGTGTTTGTGTGTGTATGGGGTAGCCCCCGCGGGAGGTGCACCTTAACCTCGACTCCTTGGTTTCCACCTCCCCAGAGCTGGAGGGTACGCACAGGACGGCGGCAGAGAAGGCCAGTGAGCAGGCGGAGAGATGGCGACGGGCGCAGACGTGCGGGACATCCTGGAGCTTGGTGGCGTAGAGTCGGAGAACACAGGCACCATCAACAAAAAGGATATCATCAACTCGGATAAGGTGAACTGCAATGCCCTAAGGAGCCACTGCTTGTCTTCTAGGCACTGACTGACCTGGCATGTGGTGTCCGGGGTGAATATTGGAAACAAGATGGAATAAAGCATGCTCCTACCATAGTCTGTTTATTTTCATGCTTCCTAGGAGTGTCTGGAAATGCCTGGAGGGCCCCACTCCTGGGTTTCTGGTGCTCTTAACTGTGCTGTGGCATTTGGGGTGGTGTTTCAGCTGGAGCTATGTGGTGTCCTGGTGAGCTGGGCCTGGCCCCAGGATATTTTCAGCTGTCTCTAAAATTCCCGTTTTATGGACTGTGAAGTGTGTTTACCATCTAGCCCCCAAGCAGATAAAAAGAATATAGCACAGTCTTATTATACAAGCAAAAAATGTAGTCTGACTTGATTGAACGGTAAATGTCTTCAAACCACAGTACTAGTGCCCATTAAGGGAAGGTGTGCACCTCTGTTTTGGGAGAACTGGGAGGTATTGCCTGTGGGAATATGGGCAAGTTAGTAAGCTCTGTTAAGGACATATGCCATCGCATGCTGTCTTCTGTGTGGTAATATGCTACAGTATGTTGTTGGCTTCTGTATTTTGAATTTGGGCAAGGTCTTCACTGTCCTTTGTGCTTTGCAAGGTGTTGGGAAGGTCAATTCACAAGTAGTTATGAGATGCGGAGGTGCTTGGAAATAAGGCAAGGGAGATGAAATCCCCAGGAGCTCTCTGTAACAGAGGTGGTCTGATTTGAAGTAAAGCCTGTGTATTTGTTTGAAAAAAAAAAAACAACAAAAAACCCAAAAAACCAAACCACCCAAAAAAACAACAAAACAAACACACACAACCACCTCATCCCTGAAGGTACTTCCTGAGTGTCTTTGCCTCCACTGAAACACTGAAATGTTTGTCTCTGAAGAGAAGTGTACTGGTTTCATGACTGCCTTGCTGGGGACAGGACATATAGTATAACTGGTGTAATGGAAAACTGATGAATTACAGTAATTCAGAGGTTGAAATGTTAAAGTCACCAGTTTTCATCTGTGTTGGAGGATAGCATGTCTGGTGAGCAGCTTGGCGGGATTAAGTGGCGCTGTGCCACTGAGCGTTCGGATTTGTGAGTTCTTTGATTGAGATGCTTTTGTCTGCTAGCTAGCAGAGAGCTGAAGGAGTACTGGTGCCTGCCTGTCTCTCTCTTGAAGCAGAGAATAAGATGGGTTTCTCCTCAAATTTACTGTAATGGAAAGAGAGAGGAAGGGGAGGTGCAGTGAGAGGTTTCAGAAGGTGTGCAGGAGGCCACTTATGACCCTGAGTGAAACATTCTGCATTTCTATGAAGTACAGAAACTAAATCAAACCAAAGGTGTAAGCCATTATTGCATGGAGAGAGCAAAATTGCTAATATCAGTGCAGTGCTTGCTCAGGAAACAGATCTGTTCTCAGTTAGAAAAGGAACAGATTGATGTCTTTAAATCACAAGAGAACCATGAAGTACTTTCCAGTCCATTAGTGACTGAGAATGTTAAAGTAAAAATTACTAGGCATAAAAACATTTAAATCTGCAGGACCAAGTAATTTGTTCTCAATTCCTGAAAGAGCTGGTTGAGCTGATCCTGGTCTGCTGATATTACATTTTAATAAACCTGGGAACTTCAGGGGGATTCCAGAAGCCCGTCTTCAAACATGGTGTGTGATGACCCACACGTAGCTGCCTCCGTTGGCCTTACATCACTCCTGGGCAAAGTGATGGGCATAGTAGGAGAAAGGCGTTTGATTAGGAGTGAAAAGGTGCTACTATAATGAATGTCTGTCATGGAGTTTTATGGAAAATAGTTGCAGTCTAAGCTGATAGATTTTTTTTTTTTTAATGGGTTTTTGAATTTGCTTGATAAAGGTGACGGTGTGGATTTAATACAATTTATGATATGGTGTTAGTTTTACTACTGCAAAATAGTCTGATTTAAAAACTGGTAATGATATAGTAAACAAGTAGTTAAAAATAGTGGCATGGTAAGTAGTTATAAAGATGGTACAGTTAGACCAAATGCTCTGGACTACTCAGTAAACTTGGCCCACTTAAATAAAGTGTTCCTTGATAATGTGGCTGTTACTGTGTCTATTTGAATCCAAAACTGATTACTTTATAAACTTGTGTACGTGATATGAGGGGGAATGTGTCTTAGAAACCACCAACTGTGACAGGATTTTAGGGACCATATTGAGTCGTCTACTCTGAATTCCTAGTATGAAGAAGCTGTGTCAAAAAAATTACTTGCTGTATAAATGGGAGAATGGAGGCAGGAACAGGGATTTACTTTTGTAGGTGATACTGGTAGTTTTGACATGGGGCTACTGCAAGACCTTGATCACAACTGGTAAAAACTGAAGTTGCTGCAGAACAAAGTGACAAAAACTAAGAAAGGGTGGGAAGACCTTTCTTAGTATCTTCTCTGAAAGGTAGAAAAACACTTAATTAAATGCATTAATACCTTCATGTGGGGACAGTACCTACCTAGTGAAAAAAGGCTTGGTGCACTAGCCCCTGAAAACTACAGCCAGATGTTCAGCTTGGAATTTAAGTGCATGTTATCAGCAACAGCAAGTGTCTGAGTAGTGGTGAGTGCTATCATTGAAACTGAGCATGCTTTGTCTGTCGATGTCTTCCACCGGGAACTTTCCTGGAGAAATTCAAGGTGTCTAAAACCAGATAAAAGTGCAAACCATCACAGGGCACCAGGTTATGCAGTTTAATGTTCCCTAAGGGATTGCTGCTTCTGAATCTAAAATTCAATTCTTTTCTTTCAGAAAAAATCCAAGAAATCTTCAGAGACACTGACGTTTAAGAGGCCGGAAGGAATGCACCGAGAGGTTTATGCACTCCTCTACTCTGACAAAAAGTAAGAGCTTATGGTCGTCTGTGCAGGTTGTGGGTTAGCATAGGCTTTTTGTGGCAGGGCAGCATCCCCTTGAAACCATGGGCAATCTCACTTCCCAGATTGATTCCCCTTTGTGCTTGGCCCATGCCTGTGCCCTTCTTTCTTAGACAGTCATAGACAGTGTCTCTTGTATCTCTTATAATTTGAGTGATTTGCTTTGTGCAGGAGATGAATTAGGTACAGGCACAACAGTCTAGTGCAGACAAGGCAGTGTTCTTACCCTTCTGTATCTAATACTCTTTTATTTGCAGCTGGGAATAGCACCTGCTTTTATTTCTGCAAAAAGAGTTCTGCTGCAGCCTGTATTTAGCTTGCTATGGATTATGCCCTTGCCCCAGGGGTCTCTTGCATAGTTTGCTTTCCAGATGGTTCTGTTCAAACCCATCCATGCTGTCCTCTGATGCAGGAAGCATTGCAGTCTGGGAAGTGCAAAACCTGGAATAAAGCTTAAAATCAGGTTTTCTCACCCTAAACACTGTGGTGGCATATCCTGCTCTGAGTCCGAAATCTCTTTGGGTTTGTCCTGGGCTGCTTCTTGCTTCTCGTCAGCCAGTGCTTTTCTCCACCACAGGGATGCGCCTCCGCTGCTGCCAAGTGATACAACTCAGGGTTATCGAACAGTCAAAGCAAAACTGGGGTCCAAGAAAGTCCGACCTTGGAAGTGGATGCCCTTCACCAACCCAGCAAGAAAAGATGGAGCAATGTTCTACCACTGGAGGAGAGCAGCAGAGGAAGGGAAGGACTACCCTTTTGCCAGGTTCAATAAAGTAAGTGGGAGCAATTTCAAACAAAAGCATATAAATAGCAGCTGGAAAGTACCCTTCGGTCAGCTTCTTGAATGTCCAGATGGGAAGTTTGTTCTTTCAACAAGTGGAGGTTGAGTTAGATTTGGCAATTGCATTTTAAATTGCAGCATGGCCTGCAGCCATGTGACCACAGACTGTGATGTCTTCAAATCATTCAAGCTAGGTGGGCTCAGTATGTGATGAGAGCTTGCTGGAGCCCCCTGCGTTTCAGGTCTGCAGTCATTGATCCGGTAAGGAGGCACTCTACCATCTAATTTAGTTCCTAACCAACATCCTCCCCCTGATTACAGGCTCTTGGTAGTAAAAGATACTGTATGCTGAGCGAGACATTAAAGTCGTAAGCCTTGTAATTTTGCCCAATATGAAAAAATTCGCTTGAGCTTTGCAGCCAGAAAGCTGGCTTGCAGCCTCCTGGCTAGATTCCAGCACAGATGCTGAATTACGTTGTGTTCCCTCTGAAATTGCTTCTGTGGTATCAGTGTGGTGCAGTACCCTGTTCTTTGCGTCTTATATTAAATTGTCACAATGTGTTGTTGTAATCTCCTGCTGTCTTTTGTCCCAGATGTATCTGCTTTGAGTGGTTGGGGCTTTCATGTGTATGCACAAAGAAAACTACATCAAGATTTATTCTTCAAAGTCAGGACCTCCAAAGTTAGGAAGGGGCAGAATAAGGGTGCTTCCATAATGTAATTTAACCTCCTTCATGATGCAAATCTGAAGGGGGGGAAAAAAAGAAAAAAAGAAATGTGTGCTAACATGATTCCACAAAAGCTCTGCTTGCATATAACTGTATACAATGTTTTAAGTTTGTAACCCATCAAGCATCAGCTCTAACAAAGCCTGGCTTCCTTCAGAGTTAAGTGGTTGGTTGACCTTATATGTTAGAAGGCTCAAACTCTGACTGATGCTTTTTCTCTTGCTGGGACATTGGTAAGAGCCTCCTGTGGTATCTCTTCTCTTATTTCTAGGGTGGAAGTCTGAAGCATGGCTCACTTAGTCAAGGCACCTACCTAGCTGTCTGAGTGAAACTTTGGGAGTGTAATTGTCTCTAAGACTCTAGTGCTGTAACAGTTTTTGGCTGAGTTCAAGTGAGTTTATCAGAGAGGACCACACATGGGTGTTGTAATTATACGATTCTTGTTTCCTTAACTTTATCATGTACTGTGAATTGACAGACAGAAGAGCCTACAGCAAGGCTGCAACCTTTAGATTAGTGGTATGGACCTCTGCCATCTGCACATGCACAATTACATAATATTAGGAGCAAGTTGTTACCCTTGTAGATCCGCGGTTGAGAGGACAGAAGGCACTGATGGGGAGTTTTGCAGATGTTTGCTCTGTCAGAGGAATTTTATTTGCTTTTCCAGACTCTTCTATGGGTTCCTTCTCACATACTTGATACCTCTGCCTAAATCTCTCGCTCCCTTTGGCATGAGCCCATTCTCCTGTGTAGTCTGTCCTGTTGGTTGCTCAAGCTCTTTAACCTGGCTCCTGCATCGCTGCTCAGTTGCTTTGCCTTTTGTCTGTACTTCCAGTCTCCAAACCAAATCCCTCCTCTTCATTGTGAAATCCAAAATGTAAACTTAGGTTTCACAGTGTACACTGAGCCTTGGTCGAGGGTGTGAAAGAGGAATATAAAAGCAGCTTCACTGGTGTCAGAGCAAAGGCCTCTCTTAGATGATATTTTGTTTCTGGCTATCATTAGTAAAGGCTTAGGGGAAGAGCATGAGAATGGGGCAAATATAGAGCATTTTTTCCTAGCTCCTGGTGGTCTTTGGTTTAAGGATTTCTTAACTTGGAATTTGTGTTTAATAATTCTTGCTACGTACATCCAGGGCAGAAAGCTGCTTTATGAATATCCCACAGTAAAGAGTTCTTCAGGTTAATTTTGTATGGTGTGCAAAGGTGCTTTCTTCTTTTCATTTTAAACTGCTGCCTTGGGATTTCATTAGGTGCCTCTCAGATCTTGTGTTACATGACTCAGTAAATTGTTCTTGCTGTCTACTGTGTTTTCTGTAATTTGACATACATCTGCCCTTCTGTGCCCTGTCTCACCTTTGTTGTTGTCAAATACCCTTTCTTTTGAAATGGGTGGACTAGGAATGAGTGTTTCACTTATAGAAGTATGGTGGGTTTGTACATTGGCTGTCTTTCTCTTTATTTCCCTGATCTTTTTTGCTGTTCAGTTTGTCTTTTCACCACTACTAGACATTGTGCTGATACTTTCACAGAATTGTCTCATGGCTCCAGGATCTTGCCTGAGCAGTTTCAGCTAATTTAATGCCCATCATTGTGTGAGTTTATAGTGTGAAATGTAGGACTGAGAGAGGTTTTCTGGGCCATTCTTGGCTCTTTCAGGTCCTGCACCATCCAGTCCCTTTCATAAACTGATCAAGTTCCTTTTAAAAAGCACTTGGATTTTCCTGCCCGTGTGCTTTCTTGGGAAGCTGTTCCGGACTGTCTCTGCGGCATTTCTCATTTCCAGGTTAAATTTTCCATGTTAAATAGGCATTTCTTTGCAAGCCAATTTCTTTGTCCTTGTTTCAGTTGTTGTTTTCTTCTTGTGGGTATTCCTTTAATTCCGTCTAGCATACTTGAAGCCTGCAGTCAGATTCCCTTTCAGACTTCCTTTGCTTGGCTCCTTTCTTTTCCAATCTGCTGTGGGAAGACAAGCTCCCCACCCCATTTACTCATCCTCGTTGCTCTTCTCTGTAGTTGTTCCCATTTCAGTTCATCTTTCCTGAACAGGGATCAGTAGAGTTGTAGTTGCTATTCCTGCCAAAGTCATCTTGTGCAACTGAAATCCTGCCAGTTTCTGCTGGAAATCCCTCCCTGGGGACCACATTTGCATCTTCATGGCTACATTGTATTTGAACTTACAGTCATGCCATGGTTGGCTAGATGTTTCTATCTGATGAGTTCCTACCTTCTCACTACTGAGCAATTCTCAGCTGAGCAGCTGTGAGTGGGGCTGAGGAAGTGTTTTGGTGACTACTCTTTGCTCTTGTCCCATTCTCTTCTCTGATCAGGCATCTGCCACTTTCCTTCCATCCACTGCAGAAGGCCCTGCCGGCTCTTTTCATGTATATCTGTTACTCTAGAAATGTTGGACATCCTTACAGTGTCTAGTAGGTTGGCTCTTCTTCTGGTGGAAGTCGTACCTGAAGGTTGAGCTGCAGTGCATCCCAAAGGGATATGCTTCACGTTTAAGCTTCTGTGTCAAAGTGATGAAAGAAGGGCAGTAGACCTAAGGAGGCTGTTATTTAGAGGCTCACAAATGCTCCTCTGAGCTATATGGAGTTCATGAGGATGGTTTTTCTCTTGTAGGACTCAGGAAGGAATAGAGGTGTTGAAGCATGTGTGCTGCTCGCATGCACATGGTGTTTTCTTCTGGTGACTGGGCTTCCTCAGGCTGAGCAGAGTTCCACTGCAGGAGTGGTGGGAAGGGGGTAAAGGAGGAAAGCACAGGCTTGTTTGCACTTCTGCTTTACCATGTACTAGGACTTCCCCTAATACCGTATTTTTACTGTTCCTTTAGTACTCATGTGACACTTGTGTTCTGGATAGAGCCTTTGCAGAGCAGTTCCAGGCTGAGGACAGTGGTGTGGGTTTGGCCTTTTAGGCACCTGGGACACTCTGATTTGGCCTGTCATTTGTCCCTGTGGCTCTGCTGGAGAAAGGGTGGATGAGGAAGGAGGGACAAAGTTGTTTGCCAGGTTCATGGCCCTCAATTATACAGCATGCAGCCTTTCAGATCTTCATGGCACTGTCTGCACCAAACATGGAAGAAGTGGGTTGTGTATCAAAGTAGAAGGTGCGGTAAAGGCTCCTTGCCTTTCCCGTTCTTCCCATACGAGTGAGAGTGTCCCAGCCCAAGTAAAGAGTCGACTGCCAGAGCAGTTTATGTCAAGGTACTGATGCTGCTATATGGGAGGAATGCAGGGAGGCTGCCTGAACCTTGGTTTCACTGTTGTGTTAGCCTGATAAATTTGAAACGTATTGTCAGGATGTGGGTTGCTGACTTCTGCCTATGTCAGCCACCTGAAATAGGTTTCAGCCTCCCAGGCGAGTTCCTGGTGGGCTGCCCAGAAGGTCATGTGTGTGGCCCTGAGATCACACATTGCTCCTTAGCAAGTCCTCTGCCTGCTTGTCATGTTTCCTACCAGAACCCATTACTCAGGGTCCTGGCAGCCCCCTCCTGTCAGTATGCTGTTCTTGCTCTTGGCTCAAGTATCTCGGCCGTTACCAGCTGGCAGTGAGAAGGGCAGAGAGTAACAGGAGAGATACCATGTTTTTCTTGTCTCTGCATAGACGGTGCAGGTACCTGTGTACTCGGAGCAGGAGTACCAGATGTATCTCCATGATGATGCGTGGACCAAAGCTGAGACAGACCACCTTTTTGACCTGGCTCGGCGTTTTGATCTGCGCTTCGTGGTGATTCATGACCGCTATGATCACCAGCAGTTCAAGGTGAGTCCCAGGGGCCAAGGTGCTGCTAGCAACCTGCTGCTACGGCACGTGCAGGGCTTGCTGCACTGCAAAGACCAAATTACCCTTTATATCAACTTAATTAGGGGAAAATAATGAATTATTGGCAGCAAGGAATATTGAATTTCCAGCACAGGGCATTGCTGCTTGCTTTGCTTGTAATTAAATCCACTGTGACTTGTGCTTATTCCCTGTTGTGTTTTATTAGAAAGTTAGGTTTACCCCTGTCAGGAGAACAACTCATTGTTCCTTGAAGATAAGCTAGCTGTGGAGTTTGTTTAGTTGAGCAGGACAGGTGTCCTTGTCCTGGATTCCAGTCTGTGCCCTGGGAGAAGGATCTGTTAACGGTCCCTGGGGATTGGGATTTTTCCCTGCTCTTGACTTGTGGTCTGACCTGGTGCAGGTTTCTGTCATCTCTGCTGTGAAGCTGGGACCATCAGTGGTCTGAAGATGCAACCTTGGTGTCATGATTGTAAATCTCCTGTAACTGCTGGTTCCATGCCTCCTGGTGACACCGGGGAATGTTGTGACTCTTACAGAACAGCTCCAAATGCTGGAGCTTTTTGTTGTCCTCTGAAATGCTCATGTGAAGAGCCTGTAGTAAAGTGAAATAATAAGAGTCTGCCCAGCTGGGCAGCCCAGACACCTTTGGTGCTTGGAGTAAGGGAACACAGCTCAGACTCTATGTATAATGATGGGTAGTGAAAGGTTGGAGCCGATACCTTCTTGTTTATGGTTTGAATGGCCATTGTCTGGAGCAGCTCAGAGACGACCTCCTGTGTGTTTGTCACAGTTTCCTGTTTGCAGGTTTTCTCCTCTTGAGACAACTATCCTTGCATCCTTCCATCTGGGAGTGCTTCACTGCTATTTTGTCTCTAACCCTCGGCTGTATTGTTGGACCCTCTGGTGGGCATTTTTAAAGCAGTAGCTGTGAACCCATGATAGTTAATTCACATGGTTCACTGAGAAACTTGCCCTTCCCTGTGGTTGCACTGGGACTGGCAAGGCTCCCTGCTGATCTTACTCCCAGGCACTGTATCTTATACCCTATCCGACATCCTTCAGCCAGTGGTCCTTAGCTGGCTACTGCACAAGGATCTGCTTGGTTCTTCCATAATGTTGTCCTCCTGTGATGTCTTCCACAGAAAAGATCAGTGGAGGACCTGAAGGAACGATATTATCACATCTGTGCCAAGCTGGCTAATATTCGTGCAGCTCCAGGCACAGACCTGAAGATCCCAGTCTTTGATGCTGGCCATGAGAGGCGAAGGAAGGAACAACTGGAAAGGCTGTACAATAGGACACCAGAGCAGGTAACTTGGGGAAGAGAGCATCACTGCTACAAAAGATTTATGATAAGTTGAATCAGTAGGTGGATGAAATAGGCCAGAGGGTGGGAAAGGGAAATAAAGACTCGACAAGAAAAGAACAACATCTAAGTACTGCTTTTGTTGTTGAATTTGTGTCATTTTAAAGGATACAAAAGGTCAGTAACTGAGAAATCTGACTATAGAGGAGAGAGGGCTAGGTGAGCAGAGTTATGGTCTCTGGTAACTGCCAACACCACCTCTGTGACACTTACTATACTAGTCCTCTGATAGAAACAAATTCTCAGATCAATGTCCCTGATCCCTCTCTTATGAGTCTCAGAGTCCCATGGGGAGAAAATTACTTCCTTGAGAGTAAAAATCTTGCCAGAAAACATAAAAGACTGTAAATCTGCATGTTTAGTTCTCCTCTTTGTTGAAGCTCTGTAACAGTCTCAGGGTTTGGAGGTTAAGGAACTGTGTGTCCGTCAAAGGCTGGGGGAGAGATCCCTTTCTGTTGGTAGTTCCCTCTAATGACAAGTTAGTATGTGTAATGACTCTGCTTGTCCTTCCTACATTGACAGGTGTGCTGGTACGAGACATAGCTGCTCTAGGTTCTACATGCTATGTCTGGGAAGGGGAGCTAGCTTTTCACAACACTTCATTAGCAACTACAGTATATTTGGCATTTTTTACTCTTCTGAGAACTTGCTCCCTTTGTCTGGAAGTGGGATTAATCATTTATGGATGCTGCTGAAGGGTGCCTCATGGATGTTGTGATACAGAATCACAAAATCATCAAGATTGGAAAAGACCTTTAAGATCATCAGGTCCAACCATCAACCCAACACCACCATGCCCATTAAACCATATCCTGTCTACACGTTTTTTGAATACTTCCAGTGATGGTGACTCCACCACCTCCCTGGGCAGCCTGTTCCAATGTTTGACCACTCTCTCAGTAAAGAAATTTTTCCTGATACCTAGTCTAGACCTCCCCTAGTGCAACTTGAGGCCCTTTCGATTCAGTACCTAACAGTTTCTAGACTGGCATTGCCATGGATGCAGGGTGAGGCTGTGGAGCATAATGTGCTCTGCAAATCCAAGATATTAGGCAGGGGAGGTTAAAGTCATTCCCAAGCTGGCCCAGAGCAGAGCCGTTACCTGTAGATGGCCCCCTTGCCTTGCTAGGCTGCCTCTGCTGCTCTGATTGCCTTTTACGTGCTCTGGTCTGCAGGTGGCAGAAGAAGAATACCTCATCCAAGAGCTCCGCAAAATTGAAACCAGAAAGAAAGAGAGAGAAAAGAGAACCCAAGACCTGCAGAAGCTCATCACAGCTGCTGACACCACCACTGAACAGAGACGTGCCGAGCGCAAGGCTCCCAAGAAGAAGCTGCCACAGAAGAAGGAGACGGAGAAGCCTGTAAACATTTCTCTCTTCCCTCCCCCCCCACCCCCCTGCCCCGCTTATGCTCTGGCTGGGTAACATGTTTCCTTCAGAAATCCTATTGGGATCAGGCCCTCAATTTTTTGCGGGGGAGTAGCTGCTGGCTGCTTTCTGGCAGATGCTTTTTCGGTTATGTCTTTTGGAAGGCAGATTGGTCTAAGGCAGCCACTGTCAGAGTCCTCTGCTGTGTTCTCTGTCTCTCTTCCATTTGAGAAATGCTGGTATAAGTCCTGTTTCCCTTTTCCTCCCTGAGAAATGGGATGAAATTATACCAGACATTCGTGCTTCATGGCAGGGAGAAGCATCTGTCTCCCTGCTTTTCCCAAGTGTATTCCAGTACTGCTGTGTAGGGTTGTCTCACAAACCTGTTGTCTTTCACCTGCTGCCTTTTTCTAGTCTAGGTTTCCCTTTCCTTCCCCAGCTCTGGGTCTCATCAGTGTCTCCCCAAGCTCAGTGCATGCCCTTCTCTTGATCCTCAGCTGTGATCAGAGCAGCCCTGCTGAGGGACTCTGGCATTCTGGGAGCTATTGCTTCTTACTTCTCCTTGAGCTGAGCTAAAGTCTAAGGAGCCCAGAACACAGGTTTCAATTCACATTTGATGTTACCTCAATTTCCCTTTCTGGAAAGAGGACAGTGTGGGCTGAACTAAATTTAGCACCATCAGCCGGAAAGGGCTGTCACAAAATCTCAGATGTTTCCAGTGAGTCCCTGGGAATTCCTGTCCTTCCACCTTGTGAACAGAGAGCACTTGTGCCATTGTCCTCCAAAAAGGTCTGTGCAGGGAGGGGAGAGAAGCAGTGAATGCTAGACACTTACTGCTTGATGAAGTGTGCCTAACGGCCACCACCTCCTTAAAACGTTGTTTTGGTTTCACCCCCACTCCTCTATGTAATTATTGTAATATCACTGGGCACCTTGTGCATTGAATTCCCTTGAGGGTTGATCTGGTAAAGCTCAACCATGGCTGGCGTATTTTCCTCTGAAGAAAGCAGCTCGGTGGTGGTGGTAATGCAAAAAGGATGGTGATGGAGAATGGGTCTGGAAAGATGCCAAGGATGCCAAGGTGAGGGAGTCCAGTCCTAAATATTGCCTGTTGGCTGGTGCCTGTCTACAGGCATGTAGTGGATAGGCACGCCAGGGTGGGCAGAGAAGCAGTTTCTGTTGTTGCACTAGCATCATTTCAACCATGACAGAGTCCATTAGGAGTCAATTACCAACTATAGCTGGGAAATGTTAAGAAAAAAATTGCATTTTAACTAAGAATTTGAATCGGGAGCTGCATCAGCATCATTTCAACAAAGGAAAATCATTTACCAAAGAGTCAATTGAGGTTGAAGCGTTTACAGCATGTACAGGCACACAAGGCAAAAGAACCCATTTAATTGCTTATGTGCTGAGCGCAGTCAGAGCTGTCTCAGCTAAGCCAATGATGCTGATTTACCCTCACTGCTTGTATCAGGGTGTTCAGCAACAGGCTGGGGGGCAGAGTTTGGAGAGTCTGAAAGCCAGCCTTCATCTAAAGGAAGCAGAGAGGTTTTTGATTGCAGCCGCCTTTGTCTCTAATAATGCAAGCAGGGAAGCTACATCCTACCAAAGATCAAAGTGATCCCTACAAGTTCATGAGCGCCATTGGTAGTTAGAAAATACTCTTCCTGGGGTCTCTGTTTATTGGACCGAGCACAGATAACTGAAAAAAATCTTAATGCTTGGCCACGCGGAGTGGTTTGCAAGGAGCCATCTCAAGACCAAGACTTAGAGATAGCAGATAGAGATGTGAGAGTCATTGGCAGGGAACTTGAGGAATTGAGTCACTGTCCTTCAGCATCTTATGATCTTGGGGCAACCCTGGTTGTCTCAGCCCTGTCTGTAATGAACAAAGAGCAAGCTGCAGGGCCTCTCTGTAGAGAAATGTGGGAGCAGCAAGGCGAACACTGTCTCCAAAGAAATTAGATTTGAGGTGACTTACTTTTGGAAAAGTGTGATTGAGCATGCATTTTGCAGAGATTGTGGCTATTCTTAGACTGAATCATAAGTATCGCTGATCCATTCAAGGGACCCCAAACCATTCAGTGCACAGGGCCCTGCTGATAACCTGGTTTAATAATTTAAAAGTTTGCTTACCTTGTGCTTTGCTCAGCAGTACAGATTTTTATGGGATTGCATTTATTTTTTTTTCCATTTTGTTGAAATGCAACTAAATGGTCTACTGTCTAGCAGCAGCATTAGAAGTTTGCCGCCTTGTATTACTATGCTTAAAATGTGAAGTGGGGAAGAAAGAAAACTGTCTAATGAGTGGACAAATGGCAAAACGTGTATAAACAGCAGGCCGCCTTGGAGGGGTGCAGTCCTTACATCCTTGTTAGTGGGCTCATGTTTGTACAGATCAGAGGTTTCTTAGCTCATTCCTTAGAGGACTTGCAGTCAAAAGCCAAGATTTAGGGAAGTCCTGGGCTCTGTTGATCAGTGAAATTGGGCAAATATGCATATGTTAGTATAAGGAGTACCATTTCGGGTTAGGGTTTATGCTTGTGTGGATGGGTGTAAGGCTGTGTGCAGAGCAGTGAGTTTAAACCAACCAACCAAAAATGCTTGAGCTCTCAAAAGATACCTTGAACTGGAGTATTTTTCTCAGCGAATTTCTTGGGATTTTCCCACTGAATCCCATTGCTTGGGATTTTCCTCTTGCCTCAGCTCTGACATGTGGCTGTGGCAGGTGGTTCTCTGTCATAGGAAACAGTGTTTCCCCTTCACATAGTCTCTGTATGAAATCTTGTGTTTCCTCCATGAACACATCCTGTTTCGATCTCTTTCAGGCTGTTCCTGAGACTGCTGGCATCAAGTTTCCTGACTTCAAATCTGCAGGTGTCACGCTGCGAAGCCAGAGGGTAGGCTTTTGTCCTGGTCCCTTGGGACCTCTGTTAATGTCTTTCAGTCTGCTTGTCTGTCTCCTCATCTGTTCTCCTTTTATAGCTAAAGAAAAATCAAGTTCTTGCCTCTAAAATAAGAAAGGAATTCCATAAATGTGGAGACTCAGAAACCTGGAATACTGGCTCTGTGAAAGGCAGCTCATTGCCTTGCAGGGGCACCTGAACTTGCTGGTGTTGTACACAGAATCATTAAGGTTGGAAAAGACCTTTAAGATCATCAAGTCCAACCATCAGCCCAACACCACCATGCTCACTGAACCATGTTTGTTACTGGTGTGCCCACTCTGCTGTTAGACACATGTGACAGACCCAAATGGAGCTGTCTAGTCCAAACAGAGCTCACAGAGCACGTGTGTTAATAGGTGAGAGGTGCTTGTAAGAGCTGGATGTTCAGATTGTGTCTTAAAAAACCCACATAAATGCATACAAATTTTAGCCTTCCTATTTCCATTATCTTCAGAAGATATTTTGGGGAAGAGCCCCTTTGTTCATTCAGTTGCACAGACATCCCTGAGAAAAAACTTACTTGCTGTTTTATCAGCAAGACTTCACAGAATCACAGAATCATTAAGGTTGGAAAAGACCTTTAAGATCATCAAGTCCAACCATTAAACCAACACCACCATGCCCATTAAACCAACACCACCATGCCCACTAAACCATGTCCCAAAGTGCAACGTCTACACGTTTTTTGAATACTTCCAGTGATGGTGACTCCACCACTTCCCTGGGCAGCCTGTTCCAATGTTTGACCACTCTCTCAGTAAAGAAATTTTTCCTGATACCTAGTCTAAACCTCCCCTGATGCAACTTGAGGCCATCTCCTCTTGTTCTCGACACTTGACGTGTGTCTCTTAGTGGCAAGTTTTGGGGTAGCAAGTAAGTTAAACTTGCCTGGTCGACTGAATGTTTTCAGAGGGGTTTTGATAGCAAAATCCTGTTTGCCCAGTACAAGTGCGCTTTTTTTTTTTTTTTTTTTTTCCCCTAGCCAAATAAAATAACTTTAGTTGCTTTATTGTAGCAAAAGTGGAGAAGTAGGTTCCTTGCCTGGTACCCTCACTTGGCATAGTCATTTTTAGGTCAGTTTTAAAGGCTGTTTTATGGGATGTTCTTCTGTTGGCAGAATAGTTTCACATTTTGCTGGGAACACCCTGGGGCTGTTAGTAGAAATGCGTTTGGGATCATGCTGCTTCGATGTATGGGCGCATGTGCACGTTAGAGGCGATATACCTCAGCATGGTCATAGCTGGGGGACCCCTTTAGCATACAAGTACCACCATCTGCAGGCTACCTGTTTGAATGAGGGGCTACAGCCTTGAGGAAGTCACAAGCAGGTGACAGGCAAGACTGCAGTGCATGTGTTTGAGATTTATGGAGACGTGGCAGATGTGTTCTCCAGCACCAAGATAAATAGAGTAATTTATGGAGATTGATTTGGATTTTGAAAACTAGTAAGTGACGGTTGATATTGTCTATTTTTATCCCCTCTGAAAGAGAAGCTAAGCAATAACCTATCAGTGATAGAACCATTTGGCAAAGCCAGCAGCCTTTTTGTCTGCCAAACAGGCAATTCAAATCTTAGCCTTTGTGAAATGGGTGCTACATGCTTCTCCCTGTTCTCTTTAATGCTCACAAAATGCAGTGATAAGCTGATGCATGGCAGTCTGATGCAGCAACTTTCAGCCTGCAGTATCCAAGCTCCTGGGATGACCTAGAGCAACTTTCTATGCTCTGCTTGAAAATTTTAAGGAGATAAATGCTGTTATTAGAAGTACCAGTGGATTGTGAATTGAAAAAGATTGCAAATCACAGATCTAGTTGAAAAAACAACACTTTGTTGCTTGGAAATGTGAAACCTGCCTCCAACCCAGCAAAATGAATTAATTTGTGGCTTTTAGCCAGTCACCTGGCTTCCTTATTCAAGTCTTTCCTTTTTTTAAAATGGGAGCTAATAGACTCACTTGCTTCACAAATGAGTGATGGGGTGAATTAATTACATGAGGTCAGTACAGGCCTTTTGAACTGTAAGAGTTGCTGAAGTGCTAAGTGATATGGAGCTGACAATCCATGCTAATCCAAATTATTTCACTTGTGGAATTTATGTGGCAAACCCTCTACATACCAGTGGTATGGAATTGATAAGGATGGGAGCCGACTAGGACTACGTGAGGAATTGGGATGCTGTGCTGGAAACTCATACTCTGGCAACATCCAGCATAAGATGTTTTGCCTGACCCCGTTGGAAAATGATTTCTAAAGGCTTGTGACATCCTGCAGTAAGTTCTTTTGCCTGAGGACCTAAAGGTTTCCGCACCTAAAGGCTTCTATTGTCCTCCTTTATTTTGTACTTTGCTACCGTCATTTACGCCTTCATAGTTAGGTGAAGTTGGATTTTGCACTGATATTAGGGACTCAACCTCTGTCACGTCTGAAAAATGTACCATATCATCCCCAGGATAATAGCACTTACTCTTTGATTAGAGAGATTCTTTTTTTTTTCCCTGAGGATTTACAATTAGTCTGAGAACTTGAGTTAAAATTAATTTATAGAAATGAGTCCTTGAAGAAAAAGTTAACAATCGATATTCAACTTAATTTGTTCCCAGTATTTTTTATGACAATAGTCCTGGCTTTTCAAATTCCCCCTGTTGTTAAAGCTTACAAAATCTTATGCACAGGCTGAATTTGAAGACTTTTTTTTTTTTTTCCCCCTAGGATTACGGTCATTACGGTCACTTACGGCCATTATTCTTCATAGCTGAAAGTTTCTCCTTCAGCAGACGCTGAAGAGTAATCTTCTCCAGTGAGTTCGACAAGCTGTCTTCTATCACAGTGGCTTCAGTCTCCCATTGTTCTCCATGGGGCTGTGGCCACAGGCAAAGAAGGCCACAGCCCCTGTGCCCTTGCTCTGCATGGGATTTCCCCTCTGCCTCCTGACAGCACAGGCTGCAAGTTTCTCTAAGGCAGTAGGAAGCTGGGAATTATGAAAAGCTTCGTCTTAATTCAAGGCAGTGTATTGCCTTGGTGCCACTGAGAATGGGAGGCAGTAACAGATGTTTTGGAAGGGGGTAAGCCTTTCATGGGTTTCTTGAAAAGGAATTTTAGACCTTTGCCTTTGCTGTTAGTAAAACAGTGTTATGAAAATAACTCCAGAAATGCATTATTAATCTGAAGCATTACTTCTGGAAAACTTCCTGTTACACCAGGTCTGGTCAGCTGAAAGGGTGAACAGCCAAAGAGCCAGAGGAAATGAGAGATGGGTAGGGAATTTGTACGGGGAAAGGAGAGGAAGAGACTAAAGGGAAAGCGGGGAACTATGAGGAAGGAAAGCTTTGCTGAGGATCTGCCTGAAGGAAAGGAGAATGGGAGCTATTGAACTTGAATCTTTTCCAGGACCCAGACAAACCAACAATAACTGCATGTTTGTGATCTAGGCATCGTGTGTTTCTGTAGGGCACAGCTGAGTTTGTTTTGAATTCACCACAGTGTTTCTGTACTGTGTCATGTTTGTCTTTCTTTTAAGTTTAACCTTTGTCTTTTGACTTTATTGTGTTCAGAGCGCTTGACTTTGGCATACTTAACATCTCTTCAGTGTGTTTTAAGTTGCTCATCTTCTCTCACGGCCTTATCTGTGAATTTTAAGTTATGATTTTGTAAATGCTGTTGAATTGCTGCAGCAGTGCTTTTAAGAAGGAAGGTGATGGATGGAAAAGAGTGGATACTTGTCCCCACTCCTGCACGTTGAGGTGTAAGTCTGTGTCCTTGCTCTGTTGTCATTGGTTTGGAAACAAAGGAACTGGAAGAGAATTGATTGAGTGATGTCTCATCTGGAAACAAAACTGGGATGAAAAGGAGTTTGTGGAGATCTCAGTCTGCAGAAAGGACTGAGGGATGCTCCAGCCTAGTCATTCAAAACTGACCACCTCCCCGCAGAAAAGGCTTCCAGCCAGCAGCCTGACTCCATCTGCTAACTGGGATCTTGTAGGCAATTTACCAGTCGGGCGAGTTAAAATAGAAGTAAAGGAAGGAAAATTACAAGCACAGCTTTAGTATGCATTGATTCAAATATTCATACTCACTGGCTTTTAAATATTTACTAGCCTGCTGAGCATTTTTTTTAGCACTGATTAATGAGTAAGAATTTACTGTGGTTCTGGGGTGAATGTGTGTGTGTGTGAGTTTTCTCTTCAGTTTTTTTTTTTCTTGGAGTGAGAACTGAGTGCTTACTGCAGCTCCAAGGTGAATGATATTTCTAGAGGAAGATGGGGTTGTATGTATGTGTTTAGGCATGTTTATTCTCCATGTTTGATGTGACCCACAATTAAATGGCCAAGCACGCCACCTGTTTACTCTGCATCAGAGGCTGTTGGCTCTGTTCCTTCCCTGTCATTAATGCAAACCCAGACCTCATCGGCTGTGAACATGTGAAACATCTGTCTGTCCTCCTGTGATCAATACTGTCCCTTCAGAGGTTCAGCTTTGGAAGCAGTTCCATAAAATATCAGTTATTTTTATTTGGATTTGGTAAATTTAATTACTTGGAGCAATTAATTATTTATTTGTTTTGTATTGATTGCCCTCCAAGGCATCCTGGCATCAATCTGATGGAGATCAGCACACCCTTATTAGGTGGGAAAGTTTATGTTTCCAGATCTGAACATCCCATGGATTAGTTAGCTGAGATGTGCTTGTTGCTTCTGCTAGCAATTTTTCATTAGCAAAGTTGTATGTTTTGCACTCTACAAGAGAGTGGATGAGAGTAATTTCCATGGGGAGCCTGACAGAGGTGTGGAAGGAAAGCAGTAGTCTCATTTCTGTGAATAAAAGTTATGAACAAATGATGCAGGCTAGATCGAATTCATGTTGTGGCATTGCCATCTATTTGTTGTATTACATGCCCTTTAATTAGGGCCAAGAGAGTGCTGGTGCATTTCCTAATCAAACTCCTGCCTGTGGAG